CTGCTGCCGGTGGGCGGCTTCGCGGCGGCGCGAGGTGCCGGCGGCCCCGCTGGGCTGTCGAGATCGGTGCGCTCGAGGGTGCGCCGCCGTCTGCACGTCACGAACTGGATCGCCGATGCGGCCGAGAGCCTGAACGCCTTGCGCGGCCATGGTGGCGCCCGAGATATTTTTTCCATTTCAGCTGGGCAGCAACGCAGCCTGGAATTCATGCAGTCCATCATCGAGCAGGCGGGCCCGCCCCCGTGCTCACCCGCGGCAGCCCGTGCGGAGCTGCGCGGGCATCAGCCGGGCTGCGACGCCGACCCCGAGCATCCAGCCCAGCACCAGAGGGGGATTCTCTCCCTGCCGGGGCCAGGCGCGCGCTGCGATCCCAGCGACGTCCTGTGCGGCCTCGAGCACGATCAGTGGGTACATTGGGAGAGAGATTTGTTGCGCCGGACGCCTGCGCCAGCTCACGACATCAAGCAGCACAACGACCGCAACCTCATGGCGGACAGGCGATGCTATGCACAGTTCGTCCTGGACCTGCACACCTCCGGCCTCATCAGAGTCGGGGCCAAGCGCATTGCCACGGTGGGCGTCTTCTGCGTTTGGAAGAGCGGACGGCAGCGCCTCCGGCTCATCTTCGACATTCGTCGAGCCAATGCACGTTTTCACGATCCCGATCATTCGCAGTTGCCTAGCGCAGCAGCCTGGGCCGCGCTGCGCACAGAGCCGACTTCTTCTCTGAGCATGGCCCAGGCTGACGTGGACAATGCCTTCTACGGAGTGAAGTTACCAGAACAGATGGACGAACACTTCTCTCTGCCCAGTGTACATCTGGGCACGCTCCGACAGCTGGCTGATGGGGCGGGGATCGACATGGACCTGCCCGAGTCCTGTTTCGGCTCCCTCTCCTGCAGGTCCTGCCCATGGGGTGGTCGTGGAGCCTTTACTTTTGCCAGAGCTGCTAGAGACCACCGCGCTGCGGTCAGGCATCGACACCGGCCTCTGATCAAGGACCAGCGCGCCCCCCTCCAGGTTCACACCACCTCCACTCAACCTGCCGTGTACGTTGACAACGTGTGCATCGTCGGCGGCGACGGCGACCGCTGTGTGGCCGACTGTAGCACCGTCGTCAACAAACTGGAGGAGGTGGGCCTGAAGTGCAAGGGCGCGATGGGGCCAGAGGACCTGCAGACCGTCACGGGGATCACTTTCGAGAGACGCAGTGGCCGCATCGGGGTCAGTGCAGCCCGAATGTGGAGAGTTCGCCTCGCGCTGCTTTTCGTGGCAGACCGGCGCTCGGCCACCGGGGGTGAGATCTTCAGCCTGCTCGGACATTCGATTTGGGCCGCCCTGCTGAGGCGGCCCCCTCTCGGTATTTTCAAACAGACCTATGTCTTCGCCCAGGTTGCCGGGCGCCGCCGGCTGCGGCTATGGAGCCGCGTGGAGCTCGAGCTGCGGCAGGCGGCCGCGCTGCTGGTCTTCGCCTTCTCCGACTTCAAGAAGCCCAACAGCACCTTCGTGTGCGCCTCCGACGCCTCCAGGGGCCAAGCCAGCTCGGGAGGTGGCTACGGCGTGGTGGGCCAGACATGGGCCAACGAGCTCGTGGAGCACGCCGCGGCGTCAGCCGAATCATGGCGATATTCGGTGCTGGACGCCATCGGGGCCAGGGAGTGCGCGCTGGGCGTCGACCCGGTCGAGGGGGCCAAGGTCGGCCGATACCAGGCGCGCGCTGGCTCCACCAGCTTCGAGGGCGTCGGGCGGTCTGCAATCGGGGACTTCAGCGACTGGGGAGTTTTCTTCCATGGCGAGTTCCAGCGAGATGAGGACATCACAGTGCTGGAAGGCCGGGCGGCGGTGATGGCCGCGCGGCACGCTGTGCGAGGGCGCAGCGGGCACGGCCATCGGGACCTCATTATGGTCGACAACCTCGGGCTCGCCCTCGCGGTTGGGAGAGGGCGATCTCCCTCCATCACTCGCAATCACGTCTTGCAGCAGCTGCGTGCCATCTCCATTGTCACCGACACTACTTTCATCCTCAGATGGATTCCTGCGGAGTGGAACCCCCCGGACAGGCCCTCTCGGCCCAGGCTTCATCGCGCACGGGGCGCCCGCGCTGACCCCTGGCATGCTGCGTATCTCGGAGGTGCGGCGGACGGCCCAGGCGGCCTCCAAGCCCTATGGCGGGACGTCGACGCGCTCATGCGGAGGCGCCACTGCCGCGGCGGCCCGAGCCCAGAGCCGCAGCTCGCCGGCCCCAGCAGTCATGGCGCGGCCGGGCTCGGGGACGCACTCCATGGCGACCCCTACCCGCTCGGCGGGCTTGCGGGCCTTCGGCGGGCCTGGCGGTGGCGGCGCGGACTCCGACAGCTCCTCGACTTCGAGTTCCGAGGCCCTCGGCGACGGGCAGTCCGAGGCCGCCACCAGCGAGGGCCGAGGCCCTCCGCCTGGCCAGGGCGAAGGCTCGCCAGTCCGCCCACCGCGGCGCGCGCGAGCGAGCCTAGGCCGAGGGGCTCACGGTCTTGCAGAGCCTGAAAGTCGGCAGTGCGTCGCGGGTCTACTTCCAGAAGGAGTACCTGGACTTCGTGGGTTGGGCTCGGTCGAGAGGGCTTTCGACGCTCGGGGTGCAGGCGATCGACTCGAGCTTCGCCCAGTACCTCGTTTTCATGTTCTGGGAGGGCCACGACCGCCACAGGGGGGGGGCAAGGCCTTGGCAGCGCTGAAGCACTACAGCCCGGGGTTGGGGCTGAGCTCGGCGGCGGCGCTGGAGCGGACCACCTCCGGGCTGCGGGGCTTCCGCAAGCTCGCGAGGGGCTCGACGCGGGCCCCCATGGCGAGGGGGCTGCTTTTCGCGGCCGTGGGCATCGCTCTGCAACGAGGTTGGCGCAGCTTCGCCGTCGCCTTGGCCCTCAGCTGGGACGCGATGATTCGGCTGCCAAGCGAGCTCGTGGCAATGACGCGGGCGACCCTGGTCGCGCCCGCACCTCGGTCAGGCCGTGCTGTGTGGAGCCTCCTGCTGTTCCCGGAGGAGCTCGACAAGGTGAGCAAGACCCTGGGCTGCGACGAGGGCGTCGTCCTGTCGGACGAGATGTCCTCCGCGCTCGGGGACGAGCTGGCCAGGCTGTTTCGTACTCGCACGGACTGCCAGCCGCTCAGGGATTTCGACGCGACGGCCTTCAACTCCAAGTTCAGGACGGTGTTCGACCAGCTGGGCCACCAAGACTGCCACCCGTACCCAGTGCGCCACGGCGGGGCCTCGTTCCGTGCGGCGGTGCTGGGCGAGAAGCTGGCGGACATCCAGGCCATGCTGAGGCACCAGTCGGACACCTCGACGAAGAGGTACGCCCGGCACGCCAGGTGCTTCGCGGAGGTCGGCAAGCTGAGCCCCGAAGTCACGCAGTTCTGCCGGGAGGTGGGCGCCAAGCTGGCCGTCCTGCTGCGGGGCCGGGCGCCGCTGCCGCCGCTGCCGCGGGCTCGCGCGCCGCCCTCCGCTCTGGGCGTTGCTGGCGCGGCGGCGACGCCAGCGGTGCGGCAGAGGCTTTGACCGATGCTGCCGTGCGGCGGCACTGGCGCGCCGCGCTGTGGGCCGCCCTTGCTGGCTCCCCGAGGTACCAAGTGTACCTGGACCTCTTCAGTGGCACGGGCAAGGTCGCGAGTTGGCTGGGGCGGAAGTCAGGCTACGCGGTCCTGCGGATTGACGTGGCCGCCCATCCCGCTTTCGACCTCTCGCGGCGAGTGTTCGGGGCTATCGTGACAGGCTGGCTGAGATCTCGTATCGTGCGAGGCGTCATGTGTGCACCGCCGTGCAGCACCTGGTCTCAGGCATCGCGACATTTCTACCGCTCGCCCTGTGCTTTGAACGGCCTGCCTGGCCTTCAGGACAAAGCTGCTGCTAGGCTTCGCATAGGCAATGCTACCTTCCATTTTGCTATGAGAATCGGCCTCGAGTGCAAGCGCCTCGGGGCCCCCTTTGCTCTCGAGAACCCTCGATCGTCCATGATGTGGTTGCACCCTCGCATGCTGCTCCTTTCCCGCTCCTCCTATAAGGGCGCCAATGTAGATTTCTGTCAGCACGGTACCAGATGGAGAAAGGCAGCTCGTTCCCGCGGATGGTGCGCTTGCGACCCGCCTCCGCCCCTGCTCCGCAGATGCTCAGGGCGAGGCGGACTCTGTAGCAAAACCCATCTCAGGCATATTTCTCTGGAGGGCGGGGGGCCCGGTGGCAAACGGTGGACAGCCATCGCCGAGCCGTGCCCCGCCTCTGTCGCTGCCGCCGCCGGCCTCTGGATCCATCGCTCCGCCGAGCGCCGTCTGTCTGCCCGTCTTGCTAACCTCGTTTCCCGCTAATGTGCACCTACGTCGGCGTATGCGTTTTGTGTGGCTGGGATGGCGGCTGCCAGGCGTCCAGCATGGTCAATGGACCTCGTTTTCTGTTGAATGCTCGGCCTCGATCGCGAAGCCCCTCGAGGCCTTCAGGCAATTGCCCTCGCTCTCACCAGATCTGCGCTCTGGCAAGAAATAGATCGGGCTGTGCATTCAAACGTTTTCGAAACAGCTGTGCGCGCCCTGAATGCAAGCCGCCTGCAGATGGAATGGTTCCCGACGTGTCCGTTCCATCGCCGTCTTTGCCCAAGTCCCCCTCCTCCCATCCTCCTCCTCTTTTGTTTGCGTGTGCGCGCACGTGCCGTTGGACCTCGTTTTCTGTTGAATGCTATGCCTCCATCGCGAAGCCCATTCGAGGCCTTCAGGCAATTGCCCTCGCTCTCACCAGATCTGCGCTCTGGCAAGAAATAGATCGGGCTGTGCATATTTGTAGGTATGTATGTATGTATGTGTAGAGAATATGTAATCCATTCCAGTGCCCCTCTCTCTCGGAACTGCATCCCCTAAAGCGCGGGGCGCGTATGCAACGAATTGCTCCTGCCCCAAGACATCTCGGGGGAGCTCGCGGGGGCTCGTGTTCGCAGGCGGCGTCCGCTGACGTTTAGGCTCAGACAAGTTGAGGCGCTCTGGAGGTCCGCCCGACCGCCGGGGAGAATGCGCGGAAGCGGAGCTGTGAGTTCGCCGAGGCAGCGTTCCACGGTTCGCGCCTGGCCGAGGCAGCAGGCGCGGCGAGCAGCAACGGCGACTTGGACGTCTGGTGGCAAATCTCAGATGTGGTCGCTGAAGGACATCCGAGCGCACGACGCGGCGGCGCAGCTGGCAGAGGCAAAGGCAACCCTGACTCGGGAAAGACCTGCCCTTACTGCAAGGAGAAAGGCCACATCAAAGTTCACTGCTTCAAGTTCAAGAAAGATCAAATGGAGAAAAAGAGGGGCCAGGTCAGTCCCAGCGGGAAGTCGTGGCGAAAAACGTCGACTCCGACGAGTGCGTCTACTGCCTGGCGCTCGTGAGCTACGACGACCACGACGTGATCGGGCATCAGGTGAAGGGCGGCTTCCACGACGGGATCGGACACCGGGTGAAGGTCGGCTTCCACGACTCGATCGGCGACCAGGTGGAGGGCGGCTTCCAGGATCGTCTGGCGACCAGCTGGAGGACGAGTTCTTGTGTCGCCCCTGTGACGACGAGTTGGTGATGGCAATCGGCGGTGGTACGCGGTCTCCGGAGTGCGATGTCGACGGGTTCCTGATGCTGGACGGGGGAAGCGATGAGCACTGTGCCGGGCGAAGCTTCGCCAAGCATAGCGTGGCGGAGGAGACGAGTTCCAAGTTGGTTGCCACCCAGAAGCAGAAGATCTCTCTCGACGACGAGTCGCAGGTTCCGTCTGCGATTGGAGGTCAGGTGGCTTGCCGGGCCAACTTGAAGATCGGCCCCATTGCTCGTGACTTGCGCAGCACTGGTGGGGTCTTCGACGCGGGCTTCGACGTGGTTTACTCGCGCAGTGACGGGTGCTTTGTCGGCTACACCAAGCCCACCAAGAAGTGCGCGAAGGTTCCGATGTTTCGCAAGAGGAGCACGTTCGGTGAGCCAGCAAGCGTGCACAGATGGGGAAGCGGCTGGCAATGAGTCGCTCTCCCAACGCCGCGATGGGCATCGTCGCGGCGAACGAGGACGTGGAGATGAAGGGCGAGGGGGCCGTCCAGGCGCGCGGGGTCGGCTTCGTCGGGGTCTTGCGGCGCGGCTCCCGAGGCAAGCCTTCCGGCGGCGGCTGGGCCCCAAAGCAAGCGAGGGGCCCAGAAGGAGCAGAACTGGGGCCAGGCGGCTGTCGAGCCGACCTGCTACGAGCTCGTCTGAGGGAGCTGGGTGCCGCGATCTGCGGCGCGAAGGAGCAGCTGTGGACTCGCCTCAAGCAGGCCGAGGTCAATCACATGCAGGACCTTGAGTTCAAGACGGCAGTCGAGTAGCGATGCCAGCAGCAAGTTGACGGCCGGCCTGTGACGGAGGCCAGGGTCGTGGAGGCGCCTTGCACTCCGACGGAGGTTGAGAGGGGCCAGCGCGAGGTTATTGGGCACGCGGTGTTTAAGAAGTGGTACCCCGCGTGCGTGTTCGGCTTAGGCCGTGAGGGTCCGCGCGTCAACCAGCCCATCTACGGCAGCAGCGCCAGAGATGAGTTGATCTTCTTCGACTGGGCTTTCAACGGCGCCAAGGACACCGAGAACCTCTGCAACGAGGGTGACAAGGGTCTTGGCACGTCTCTTGTGACAGCTGACCGCAGCACTGGCCACCTCTACGGCGACGCGCTGGGGAGCCAGGCCGCGGGCGACCGCGCGACCAAGCAGCTCGTGAGGTTCATGAAGCAGTTGGCCTACAGAAGCCTGAGCTCAGGTGTGACACTGAGCCTGCGGTGAAGGCGCTTCAGGACAAGGTCGTTAGCGCGAGGAGTTAGGAAAACCTCGATATTTGGGTGTCGCAGGGCCGCGCGAGGGACAGCAAGTCGATGGGCTTCATCGAGACTCGGATTCGGCGGTGGCGCGGGCGCCTGAAGGCCAACGGGTGCAGGCTGAGATGAGCAGCGGCGTCAAACTCACACCGCATTCACCGCTCTGGCCGTTTGTCGCTCACCACGCTGCGAACGTGGCGAACTGGTTCAGCAGGGGCGTCGACGGCTACACGTCGCACTTCGCGGTCTACGGCGTGAACTACACGGGTGTTGTGGCGCCGTTCGCTGAGGCGGTGATGGCGAGGGTTCCGCGCTCGATGTCAGGTCTCGCCCCGAGGCTTAACCAAAGTTGGCGCGGCCTGGGCGAAGGGGATCAGGGTCGGCAGGACTATCGCCAACGACGAGCACATCATTTTCACGGTGGCTGGGAAGGTGACCTGAAGGACCGTCCGCGGGATGCCGAAGGGGAAGCGCCGCGACAAGGAGCTGCTCCTGAAGGTCTGCGGCGAGCCCTAGAAGGAGAATCTCGCCCACGTGCCCCGCTCTCTCGTCATGGACGGCGGCATGGGCGAGGTCGTGCCGGCGCCGCTGGAGGCCGCGGGCACGGAGGCCGAGAGGGTAGCCCCAGGGGCGGCCCCGGGTGGAGCAGAGGGCCCTTCGGGCCCAGACTCGACAGCGGGGCCCCCAGAGGCCCAGGGTCCAGAGGCCCAAGCTCCAGAGCCCCAGCCTGAGGGTCCAGAGCCCCAACCGAAGCCTGGAGGACAGGTTGAAGGCCCCGCGGAAACTGGCGCAAGCTCGAGCAGCGGGCCTTCTGCCCCCGAGGGGGCCAGCGGCAGCGGTGGAAGAGACGCTGCGATGCCTGCTGCGCCGAGCTCACCTACGAGGCCGAGGTCCCTTGCGATGGGGTGTAGAGAATCTGTGATACATTCAAATGTCCCTCTCTCTCGGAACTGCATCCCCTAAAACGCGGGACGCGTATGCAACGCACTGGTCCTGTCCCAAGACATCTGGGGGGAGCTCACGGGGGCTCGTGTTCGCAGGCGGCGTCCGCTGACGTTTAGGCTCAGACAAGTTGAGGCGCTCTGGAGGTCCGCCCGACCGCCGAGGAGAAATCAGCATGCATGTATGTATAAGTGTGTCTATGTATGAATGTGCATGTGTATGCATATATACTTGTGTATATGGAAACATGTATGCATATATATATATATATATATAGATGTATATATGTGTATATATAGAGAGATATTGGTGCATGCATGCATGCATGCATGCATGTATGTACATTCGTGTGCACGCATCCATGTGTGTATGTACGTCTGCGTGTTCGTATGCATGCATGCATATACATGTGTAAGTTTGTGCGTTTGTATGCGTGAGTGCGCATGCCTGCATGCATGTCTCCATGTATGTATGCATGCATGTAAGTATGTATGTATGTATGTATGTATGTATGTATGTATGTCAGCTTGTAGGTATGAATGTGTGTTAAGTGTGCATATTTGCATACACGTATTGATGTATGAATGTATGCAGACATGACGGATTGTATGTCTGTATGTAGGTCTGTATATTTGATTGTTTGTATACATGCATGTATGAATGATTGTATGTATGCGCGCATGCATGTCTGCATGTATGTAAGCATGCATGTTTATGTGATTGTATGTCTGCATATGTTTGTATGTGTGGATGCATGCATGCATGTATGTATGCGTGTGCGTATGTATACATACACCTATACACGATATACGTATGTTTGTATCCATGTGTATATGTGTGTATGTATGTATGACTGTATGTATACATGTACGCATATATGCATTGGTATTTGCATTGGTGTGTGCATGTTTGTGTGCATGTATACATGTGCATCTATGTATGTATTTGTATGTATGCGTGTATGTCGGTATGTCTGAGTTTATAGGTATGTATCTATGCATACATGTATGTATGTGTGCATGTCTGTATGTATGCATGTATGCATGCATGCATGCATGCATGCATGCATGCATGCATGCATGCATGCATGTGTGTATGCTTGTGTGTATGCATTCGGAGGTTCACTCGGTAGGAGTTCGTGCCTGCTCAACTCACTCCGCTCTGCGTCATGTGTAATGCGGAGGAGAGAGAGTGCCACTGCCGTGGCCCACTGCATTTCCGTCCCAGGCCCCCAGATTTATACAGGTCCATCGATATCTTTCCAGCACGGGAAGCGAGGCCGATAGAGAGTACGGAGGCGACATCGGGCTGCGGTCGGGGGCCTGAGCCTTTCTGAGGCCTCGGCTTGGCTCATACCTATTCTGGGGGAAGCGCGTGTTCTGAGGGTTTCAACCTGCCCACGCCCATCCGCTCTTGCTGTGGAGTCGGCCGTCAGCGGCTCTCCCCGCCCTGACGTCGCTGCGTTTGCCCCGCTCCCTCGCCCTTCCTCCAGCTCTCGCATTTGTTTGAACTTTCCTGAGCATGTTTTCTGTACGAGCCATTGACTCTTTTGCTCAGCGACTTCGTCGCCAATACCTCGCTGCACGCCCCCGATGCGGCTTTGCTGCCATAGGTGCTTGCCTTTTGTTTGCGCCCCGCCCTTGTGACACGTGTCGTGCCCCACGTGCCACCAGGTGCGTCCCGTGCCTCTGCACGGCTTTGCAGCCTTAGGCGGCGTCGTGCCTTCAGCTCGGTCCTGCTGACATGGTTGTCGCGGGTTGTTTGGCTCCCCCGTGGCGCCGCGCTTCGGCCGCGGGCCGAGTCCGTGCTCGGCGACACAGGCGTGCTGTCATCTGCGCCGCTGCGCGACTCACGCGCTCGGCTGCCTCTTTGTGGACACGTATCCTGGTCAGCTGTACTGCGCCCAGCCGCAGTTTTTTCGGCGTCTGGTAAGTAAGTCTTGGAGTGGCCTCGGTCGGCGTCCGACCGTCTTCTGTCGTGCCGTTTTTAGCACCACCGCGTGTCTGCTCTCGCTGGCTTCGCTTTTTCTTCCCTCTTCTATTGTTGTCTGCGGACGGCGGTGGCTGGGTGGTCGACCTCCGCTAACTGGTGCCATTACAGGTGCACATTGTAATCTCGGCGGACCATTCGTGCAGCGTCCGCTCTGTTTGAGTTTGTTTTGTGCGGCATTGCCCGCGCCTGACCCTTGGACATGTCGTCGGCTTCTTCGCTTGTCAGGGCCAGCGGGTGTTGGATGGGTGGCTGACACCACGCCAGTTTTGCTTGTACAGCTGCACGTGTGAAATTCTTGTTGGCCACTTCACAGTTTGTCCGACTGGTCAGTCCTGTGGCGCGACAGTTGACTTGGACTTTCGTTCTGCATGTTGTCCAGTCTGCATGTTTATACTTCCAGGAGGAGCATGGGTGCGCTGTACCTCGGTGGCTGTTCTTCCGGTTTTCACGCTGTCATGGTGTCGTTGCAAGCTGGCCCACACTTGGCCACTGTCACGTCTTTGCAGTTTTGGTATGTTAGCCTACAGCTTACCAAACTGTTAACGGACTGTGCTGGGTCAGCGTTTTAGCCAACACCGGTTGGCCTTGCAGCCGTTACAGTGCAGTTCTCGCGCTTCATTGTCTAACATCATTCATCGGTGGTGTAGTGGCAGCCGATTCGCACCAGACTGTTCGCGCTTCAGTTCACTTCGAGTTGAGTTGCCTCCTCGGTGTTCTGGCCGCTGCACGTTCGCTTGGACTTGCAGCTCCTCTTTCACAGCGCCCATCCTGCACTCGTCAGTGTGTGACGTGTTGTAAACTGTGCTTTTCGACGATGATCGATCGCACTTAGCGCTGACATCGGCTGTTCGTGCTTGAGGACCCTCTGCGCCGCCGACTTACACTTATGTATACATGTATCTATGCATGCATGCATGCATTCGTGCTTGTTTGTGTGTGAGTAGATGTATGTATGAATGCATGTATGAATGTATGCATCTATGTATGCATGCATGCATGTATGCATGCATGCAGTTTGTGTTTGCAGGTATGCAGGTATATTATATATTTGTATGCATGTAGGGATGCATGCCTTTCGGTATGTTTGTTTGTATGCTGTATATATGCGTGCATCTATGTATGCATGCATGCATGTCGGTATGCCTGTTTGTATGTATGTATGCATGTGTGTATGTAGGTAAATATAGGTATACCCACAGCAGTCTGACACATCTGTTCATATACATATATGATATATACACAACTACGTGTCTATATGTATATACATGTGTTCGTTTGTGGGCCTCTGGCCTCGCTGGAGGCCTCATAGGATTCCTGGGAACCTCTTGGGGCCATCCCGAGGATCTCTTGGAGCCCCCTAGGGGTCATTAGAGCCGTCTTGGACTGGCCGCTGGGTATCTTGCGGCTCCGATCGGGCCGTGTTTGGCCGTTTTGGGGCCGTCCAGATGCTGAGCAGGGCGCGCGAGGCAGAACTAGGAGGGGGTTGTAGCCTTCTGCCCGGGCTTGCAACGAAGAGGGTGGGGGGTGGGTGGGGCTTGGCTGACACTATCACTATTCCAACGCTCCACATCGTGCAGACACCAACCTGAAAAATCATAGAGGGGAACGGGCGGGGGAGGGGTGGGTGGACAAGGAGGAGGAGGACGAAGAGGATCATGATGATGACGATGATGATGATGATGCTGATGATGGTGATGATGATGATGGCGATGATGATGATGATGATGATGATGATGATGATGATGATGATGATGATGATGATGATGATGATGATGATGATGATGATGATGATGATGATGATGATGATGATGATGATGATGATGATGATGATGATGATGATGATGATGATGATGATGATGATGATGATGATGATGATGATGATGATGATGATGATGATGATGATGATGATGATGATGATGATGATGATGATGATCAGCAGGGAGATGGGGCGCGGGAGGGGAGGCCGAGGCGGATATCCCCTCAAGCAGCACTGGGAACTAAAAACGTCTTGAGCCTAGTGTCGGCTCAAGAGAGGAGCACAAAGGGAGGAGCGGCCTCAGACGATGATGATGACCTTTTGCCAAGGAGCAATGCTGCTTGCTCCGTTGGCGCCCGGCGCATCACGCGCCGGCGCCGGTCTTAGGCCACGCGTCGCGGGCCACGCCGCCGCCAAGGCACTGTAGCGCCTTGGCGGCCTCGAAAAGTCCAGAACAGGGCGGGTAATGAGGCCCCCAACGGGGCCTCAAGGGTGGGCCAGCTTGGCCTCAAAAGACTTGAGCCGCCGAACGGCGGTGGGAAAGGAGGGGGAGAGAGGGCAAGCAAGAGGCAAGGGCAGGAGCGAGGGGACCAAGGGAGAAAACCCGCGCCAGTCCTGGAAACGGGGAGATCCA